GCGATCCGGATCGGCCGTGCAGTATGGTGGAGGTTGTGATCACACCGGCTTCTTGCGGGTGGAGCGAATCACGTGGGATCCGCACAATCCGTACACGCTCGCGCTTACCTCCAATGCGACGCACTTTGAGTTGTGGACCATCCCTCTCAGGGACAAAAAAGTGTACCCGCCCAGGCTTATCCTTCGCCCGCCCGCGCACGACGAACGGTCCGTCACGCGCGGAGTTGTGTTTTCCCCGTTTGACCCAAACCTCATCGTTGTCGTTGTAGAAAGAGCGAACGCCGGTAAGGTGATTGTGTATGACAGACGGCACGTGGAAGTGTTGTGGAGCATGGAGACGACTGGGCCATGCCTTTCAGCCGCTTTCCATCCAATCTTTTCCGATCTTCTTGCCGTGTCCTTTCGGAAGGCAAAGACGAAGACCAATTCACGTGTGCAGTTTTTCCGCGTTCAGAGTGATGTCATTGCGGCGCCTTCCCCGACGGAAACGAACCACTCCAGCGGTGAGAAACTGGCGAGTGCTCCGGCACCGTTGGAATCAACGGACGTCTTGCCTCCCATCGATAGTATTGACTCACTCAATCGACTACGGTGGAGACCGTGCGGGAATACGTCCCAAGTGACAGGGGAGGAGGCATGTGTGGAAACAAGTGACGGCGGCATCGACGCTACCTCCTCAAAGTTGTGGTTCGCCACGACGGCGCTTAACGGCCAGGAGATTAGTGTCTGGGATGCCGCCAACGGCTTTTCTCCCATTTTTTCCATCCGAACTGTCTGTCATGGGCGCGAGTTTGTTCGACAGGGAGCCCACCACGTGAACCCGACCCTGCAGGAATTACCTCTGCAGGAGCCAACAGACTGTGTCTGGGTGAATGCGTTGACACTCGTCTCTATCTTCAAAGACGGGGGGGTTGTGCTCACATCCCTCCTGGATGAAAAAACAACCAGCAAGGACACACTGTTCCGGTGCATAACCGACTCCAACACGCAGGTGTCCGCGGGATCCGACGTGCTTAGTCTCAGTGCTATACTTCCTACGGCGGCGGTGGTGGCCGATTACTTTGGGCGCAGCTTTGCGGTGCGCAGCAGCTCCTCGCTTCTACGGGAGTACTACACCAAAATCATCAACGCCGAGAAGCGAGAGTTACTGGAGGAGTTGGCATCAGGAAAAAAAAATGCGGTTGGTGGTGGTGGTGTTTTGAGCTCCCCTTCTCCCTCCTCTGCGGCGGTTTCATTGGGGACTGTAAAGCATCATAAAGAGTCCTCACGTGCCACGCCCACGGGTGGAATGATGTTTGACACGCGTTATTCCCCACTGCCATCCCACTGGTCCACGCAAACACCGCTGCTGCAAGCCTCCTTTGAGAGACGGTTTCCGAGTTCTTTGGCTAGCGCCCATGCGATCGCAGGGTCTCCGAACAGCGGCAGACGGCTAGAATTTCTTTTCCCCCTCCTGTTCTCTCTCGTCCCGTCGCCGTCGCCGGTACTCACAGTTGCAACGACAACAACAAGAGCAATGGGAGTTGATCGAGTTGCGGCGAACGATGATGCCGAAACGAAGAGTGTGGATAGATTTTTGCGGCGATCCCCATACTTGGTTGCTCTTGATTCACGACACCGCTCTTCGAGGGGCGGACTGGAGACGCAGAGTGAGAGTGGGCTAGAAGAAAAAGCATGTAGCTTCCCGACACGCCACGGCTTGGATGGGGCAGCAGCCACGGCGAAGAGAGGATTGTTTGGGGCACGTTCAGCTTCCGCGAATGAACAGAGCCTCAGTGAACATCGTGGCCTAGTGTCGCCTATGATTTCACTTATGAATGCTCTGGCAATGACCAGCTCTTTTTCACCAACGCAATCTGAAGAAGGGAACGCCAGGCGTACGAATTTATTTACACCAGTGGGTCGAACGAGTGGAGGCGCCGTTTCTCTGTTACAGGAGACACAGGCCGGTTGTGCCAACTTGACCTCGGAACACGCTGCAGATGGAGGCTCAGTGGAGAAGATCCCTGCTCAGCCGCCGCCCCTGGGACGAAGATCACTCGTCAAACCCGTGATTGATTGCTTTGTCCTTTCCAATGAGACGTGTGGATGGGCCTATGTAGAACAAACTTCTGAGGAGGATACGTTTGTACGCTATGCGTTGAATTGGGAGATGGGCTTTGATACATCCCGCAAGATGAGAGCACATCGTCATGCAGCAACGGAAGACATTGCCACAACAGAGACTGAGGATGTTGATCAATGCTTTGCGAGGATGATGGGACACAACTCAAAGGTTTGTAGGTCACGTGAGCGAGAATTGCAAGCTGCAACAAAGGCCATAAGTGAGGAAAGGGACAACGTCCCTGGCGTGGATGGTGCAACGGCCAATTCCGGTAAAGGAACTGGAAATAGTGAATATCCCTTGGGCTCCGTAGATCCCAGGGGCCGACTCTGGGCTGCGGCTGCGTATGCGTGGCGCAGCCACAATGTGACACTCATTACATCGCTTGTGTGCAGTTACCTGGAATATACCTCCCTTGTTGGTGACGTGCAGTTTTGTGCTGTGTTATATTTACTTTTTTGTCTATGGTGGAAACAACGAGGGATGTCGGTGCGGAGTTATGCATGTCCCCTGTTTCCAACGGGCGAGAAACCAGCGGGGAATGCTCAAGAGTATGAAAAGACGCGGGAAGCCACCAACGGCAGCCCGTGGCAATGGAAAATGCGAGCGCTGCAGTGGATAGAGCAATATGTTACTCGTCTCTATGAAAGAAAGCTCTATGTTCCGCTCAACGAGTTACTCATCATTGTGCCTGAGGTGATGGGGAACTTCAGCGCAGGGTTACCGCGTGCCGAGGACGTTGCACAGAAGTTATTCACATGCGTCTATTGTGGAACTTGTCCAAAGTCCGAGTTGGTGCCACGACCTCCCAAAAAGGGTGAAAGGCTGTTTTTGCACACCGCGACACCCGCAACATGTGTTGAGGTGAGCGATGGAACGAATGAGCGTTTAAGCTCGGATGACGATTCAAGCGATAGCTTTGAATCCTCCCTCAGTTCCTCCCACTTCTGCATGTACGTTCACGATGAGCCTGCGGACAGTGGAGCATGTAACGATAGTGTGGTTGTGGCAAAGGAGAAGGTCAACGGTGGTGAATCGGCGCATCCTCTTGCCAAGTGTGGCGTCCCGCCGCGGAACGCGGTCTGTTCTCGTTGTAGAAACGCACCTCTTATGACGTGTGTCATATGCGAGGAGGTCGTGGAGGGAATGTACTTGTGGCTTCTTTCCTGTGGCCACGGGGGACACGTCCATCATATAAAAGAGTGGCTTGAAGTGTCTAACGAATGCCCGCGGTGTGGAATCCCAGTCCTGCACCCAGCGGAACAGCTCAGATGATGTTGTCGCACACGCATTTTGGCTGCATTCAAACGGATTTTTTTTACTGCTTGCTACCGTGATTTTGTTGCGTTTTTCGTGTGTGTCCGTTTTTCGTTTTTGTTTTTGCGAGGGTGAGATTTGTAGGGGTTGGGGGTGGATTGATTTCTTGTCGTTTCTTTTCTTTTTTGTTTTGTTTTTTTCTCTGAAGCATTTGCGGGGTGAACTGGGGAAGGGCGTGCCTCTCTGCGATGTCCTTGCCGCCGCGATTGTCATCGTGCTCCCTTGTGCACACCGTGAGCCTTTCAGCGTTCTTTGAGGATGGATTCAGACTGGCGTCATCTTCCTCGCCGTGCTTGTCGCGGCACCACACCGGCGACGCAGGCCAATGTTGCACCACTGCAGAGGAAAGGAATGTGCCGAGCCCGTGTGGAGGGCCAGCGGAATACAGAGCTGGAGAAAAGCGTATCCGGCTGTCTTTGAGTTGCACGAGCACCCAAGATATCACACCAAGCAGCGAGGGCAAAATGGAGTCGGCGGATCTTCTCTCTGGAGATGGGGCTGAAGAAGGCAAGCTGCTGCCATTTCATAAGGACGATGCTTCTCTCCTTCTCGAGCCTGCCGCCGCCTCGCTCGTTCGCTTGGGACCGAGTGGGTCGTGGTTGGGTTCACCCCCTCGCAGCGTGCCGGAGAAGTGCGATGGCGTTCCAGGCGAAGAGCAGAGATGGACCTCGTCGCTTCCGAAGGGAGGGAACGAAACGGCAAACTCCGCTGAACTTGCCTCATTGCTGCATACGGCGCTTCTGGAGTGCTACAGGGAAGAGGATGAGTTGCTGAAAAGGGGACGGGAAGTGGCGGTGAGCAAGAAGGAAACGCGTCACTGCGCACCAAAACTGGTGACAGAAGAAAAGATGGAGAGGGCGGAGATGAGGCACCGCCCATCCCCGTCAAATTCGTCGTCGTCGTCTGGTACATTTGAAAGAATGGTGGATTACATTCATGCACAGAAGCGTAGGCGCCTAGAGCAATCGGAGAGACTGGAGATTCAGGTGCGGGATATTGCACGGGTGAAGGAGCTGCCAGTTCTTGTGGAGGATGCCGTCCGATACGCGCAGCAACTGTTTGAGTGGAGTTGCAAATGTGGCGGCAACGATAAGGGTGCCTTTCTCGCAGAAGCAGGTGCGGTGCATTCTGACGAATCAACGTTGGATGATACGTGCTCCCCTTCCGGCACAACGCCGGTATTTGCAGGGTCCACTGCAAGTGACAACAGGGAGGCCAATAATATGTTATATGCCAAGTTTCCACCACCGCTCTTTCGTACCTCATCCTTTGCAGCCGCTGTAGGACGACTCCTGCGGTGGGTAAGAACATGGCAACGGGCAATGCCAGGAGGGGTCAGTGTGACGGAATCCATTCCCACTAAGGCCGGGGATAAAACACAACGTAACGGGAGTACGAAGGGAGCGGCGTCAAGAAAAATGTCCACGAAGGCCGTGTTGAAGCTGAGTTCAGCATCATGTCAACAGCGGGAAAGGCATGTTCGCCAACTGGAAACAAGAGAAAACAGCGGTTCTCTCAATGATGATGGTGGTGAGAGGGAAGAAGAGGATGATGGCCGTGTAGCTATGGCTTCGAACAGGAAGAAAGAAGAAGGGCATAAACATAAACGTACAGCTCTTCAAGGTTACCGGGATGATTGGATCTGTATGGCAGATCAAATGCTTGGAAACAGCAATCGACACATCACGCCGAGCCCTTTCAGAAGTGGGTCTCCTTTTGAGTCAATAGAGGAGAAGGAATATGGCTTGGCTACTGATCGTGTCATTTACGATGAATATGGTAACCGTTTACGCAGTGTGCGCCTGGCAAAAAAGATGGCTGAGGAACGTGCACTGTATGAAGAGGCTCAAAAGGCGCGGGAGCAGCGACGTGGGTACTTTGCTCGTGCTGAGGAAGAAACCCGTTCTACCCGTCGAGCTCTTTTTGATGAAGTGATTGACAGTGGAAGTGACGAGATGAGCGAGGATTCAAATGAAGATGTGACCAACATCGCAGTTCTGCATGGGCCATGTGGTGTGGGAAAGACGGCGATTGTTTACCTTGTGGCAGAGATACTCGGTTACCGTGTGGTTGAGATGAATACCTCCGTACGGCGCTGCCCAAAGAACATTGATCGCCTATTCTCGGAGGTAACACGAAGTCGGCGGCTCAGTGGCCTTGCTGCCGGAAAGGCAATGGTCAGCATTGAGGAGGAGTTAAAGAAGTTGAAGTCCGAGCACGCTGCTGCCCTTGCCGCGGTATCTGCAACAGCCTCTGAAATAAGTGAGACGACGAGTTTGAAGAAAAAGAAGAAGAAGAAGAATGTCATCTCTGCTAAAGCGGTGGCCGCTTTCTTTCGACCACGTGCAAGGGCAAAGTCCTCAGAGGTGATTCTTGTTGACGGAAGCCCCACAGTTTCCGCAACGGTGCCGCCGCATGATAAGCAGGTGCTGAATCACGCTGAGGATTGCAAGTATGGAAAACGTGATGGGGAAGCAAGTGTGACGGTGGAGCCAATGTTTGGGGGCCACGAAGGCACCACTCGTACACTTTTATTATTTGAGGATGCAGACGTTATTCTTGGTGATGAAACGATGAAATCGTTCTACACCGCTGTTCGTGATTTGGCGCAGCGCAGCAAAGTTCCTATTATTGTGACAATTTCCTCCTCTGCCTCCTCCAGCAGCAGCAGCCCTACAACGACCACAATGCAGGAGCCTGAAGCTGTCCAGATTGTGCCACTGGATGCGGCGCAGGTATCGCATTTCTTTGGAAAACGAACCCCATTCACTGCTATTGAGCCGATGTCTCGTGCTGCCCTCTTCGCACAGTTGCTTGTGGTGGCGGCAGTGGAACGGGGACTTGTTATGGTGCAGGGTGGGGCTGCTCCCCACAGGGAAGAAAAAGATGAAGTCGGAAGCAGCTTAAACCACAAGAAAAGGAGAACGGAGGAGCCCATGCTTCCAAGTACTCCTCTGGAACTGGTTATGGTAAAAGATGTGACGAAATTTCGGCAGCTTGCCGATGCTATACGGTCGGAGGTGTACAATGACGACTTGGAGACGCCATCCCTTCCTCTCAATGATCCTGCAGATGTACGGTTGTGGCTTAATCGCCTGCAGTACCTTCTGTTGGTGGAGCAATGGCCGGCGTCAGCGACATCAATGGGCTCTCGTCATGATGAATGTATTTTTGGCGGGACGCGCATTCTCCCCAGAAAAACTGACGCATGTTCTAATGCTATGCAGTTTGCTGGTGTCAAAAGTCACTGGGATACACAGCTGGGTCGTGTACTTCGGGCACCAGAGTATGAACGGCCGGCAGTCTCCTCCATTTGGGAGTGGCAGGAATTTCAATACGCAGAAGAAATTGCCGCTGATATTAATGCCAATTATAAGTGCAGTGATGGTTTTATTTGGGAGACCCGCGGCAGCAACAACAGCAACGGTAGTGTGCTTTTAACAACCCCCCAAGTCGAAGTCCCAATTGCGGTGGAGTTGGCGGAGGTTCTTCAAGGGGTTTTCCCCAATGATGTTTTTTGCCAGCAAAAATGCAAAGGAGGAGTCGAATCTGTCGATGGAGTGCGTAGAAGGTGCACGACAACGACAAGGGAGCGCATAGATGCATTTGGTGCTTGGTGGCGCCGCACAAAAAAGAAAGATGCTGTAAAGTTCCATGTTGCCGCACGTAGCGCGACTGCCTATGAAGATCTCATTGGTTTCAGCTGCCTGCTGCAACAGGCTTCCCCTGTGGGGAAAGGAATCAGTGGATAATGGCGGTGGTGTGGAGAATTCCCATTTCCAAGTGCCGGCATAGAGAAACGGAGATAGGCGGAGAGGCATGCGTTAAAAAGGAATGAGTGTGGGTGGCACCGCAGTGGAACAGAGCATAACCAACGAGGGCAGCAAAAAAGAAAGAGAGAGAAAAAAAAAAAAAAAAAAAAGAAATTATATATATATATATATATATATATATACATGCATATAGAACACAGAGTAAGAGTCGTGCTGTGAAAACTTTTTTTAAGGTTTCGCGGCTAATGTCATTCACAAGTGACGTGTTTTTGTTTTGTTTTTTGGTCCTTTTTTTGATCTTAGCCTTCTGTTTTCACTTGCGCACTGTCCTCTGTATGTGCATTTTCTCTTGTTTTGTTGGGTCACCTGCTAAGATGATGAGGAAGCACCAGAGAGAGAAAAAGAGAGAGAGAGAGAGAGAGAGAAAAAAAAAGGTTTAGCAGATGGCGAGAAGCGGAGAGGGAGAAAGAGGGAAAATGCGTTGATCCCCAAGACTTTGGTGCGGCGGGCCGCACAACGCGGATCGTCCTTTTTTTTTTTTTTTTTATGCTTTTATTTTTGTCCTTTTCCTTCTTTTTTTTTTTTTTTTTTTGTTTTTTTTCTTTTTTCTTTATGTGTGCAGTTGTGCAGGGATAGGAAACAGTGAACCGTTCCGCATGTCGCTTCCTGCTAGAGCCACTCAGTCGCAGCCTGCGGACGTCACATTTGAGTCGCATCAAAGCGGCATTCAGCGCGTGATGATGTGCCCCATCGAATTTGGCACGTTTACTGGGATCCAAACGGAACAGCTTGGGAAAAACGCGGGAATTGGGCTTAAACAGCAAAACGTTTGTCTGCGACACCTTTACACGGGCGAGGTAGTTCGTGCCGACAGAAACCACAACTGTGGGAACAGTAGCAATGTCTTTATCCCCCACGGGGTCGGTAAATTAGCCTGTTTCTTCTACGCCAAGGGTGGCACCGTTGGTTTTGCAGGGAAGCCTGGTTCTCCGGTGGGTTTATCGCACACAGTGGTGATTAGTGAGTATGGGGAGGTGGAAGAATTGCGGGATGCCGTTTTGCTCACCTTTTCCATGTACACAGGTTCATTCAGCTACGGCAGACGACAGGGAAAGGGACGGCTGACGGTGTATCCCCATTACTTTATAGACTGTCTTTGGGACAACGATGCACCGCTTTTGGACCGCACGCCGTGTGTCCTTTGCTTTTTCTCCAAGGATATCATGTCGCCAACGGATGAAAAGAGTCAAATGAAGCCAACGCGAGTGGGTGGGAATTCCGGAAAAGATATGGCTGCAAATGTAAAAACCCAATACATTGGTATGATCTCTTTGATTTCATCTGGGTTGACGCCGCATCGGGGATCCTTTGCGGGCCTTGCCTGGGCAGAGCAGGCACGTTTTGTTCCAGATGGAATTGGGGAAATATTATACCCGCAGGGCATTCGTTACTGTGGATTTTGGCAGTGTGGTCAAAGACACGGTTTTGGCGTCGAGTACGATCCGAATAAAAGTACCGTTTACATGGGTGGTTTTGTTTATGATCAGCGCGAGGGATCAGGAACGTTGCATTACTGCACCACAGGCGTAATTTTTTCTGGTAGCTGGAAGAAAGGGAACCTTACCGAGACATCCAACGCTATTTTACCCACAAGCCCTTTTATCTTACAAGGGGGACTTTGGAAAAGCTATGAAAATTGGTCTTTTGAACATGGCGCGTTGATGCGTTCATCCGTCCCACTCAGTGGAATTTGGGAACCGCTGTTTCTCGCATTTGATGAGAAGCTCGCCTCTGCCCCTTGGGAACATCAGGGTACATCGCCCACAACAAAAACAACAACAGCAACGACAATGGAAGGGTTGGACAATGATGAAAAAAATCACGCAGACGAAAAAAACATTTTGCTCCTCTCGAATATGATGCAGAGTTCTGAATTTAAGGCCCTATTGGTGCCCTTCCAGCGGTGTTATTATTTTCTGTACAAGCCATGTGTGGGTCGGGGACGAAGGAACTGCAACGGGAGTTCTTCTCTCGAGGAGGATGCAGGGCATTCCCTCACGCAGTGGGCGTTCTCTAGCTTCTCCTCTCCTGCAGCGGCGAGAAGTGCGCCGGTTTCCCGCAGTTCGTTGTTGACTGCATACGATGATGAAAATCGCCCGCTTTCTAACTCGCATGATATCCTTCGCAGTCGATGGGCGAGTCTGCGTTGTTTCCAGCAAGAAAAATCGGATATGAAATCTTTAGAAAGGTTGTCTCCGCTTGTGTTGCAGCTGCGTGAACTTGGAAGCGATTATCGTCAGGGGTTTGGTGAAGCACCGGGGGGTGGATGTTGGTCCTGTCCATCCTGGTGCGAAGAGATGGGGGTGGTTGGAGGGAATGGTGACAATAGTAAAAGTAACAGTAGTAATATTAGTAATGGTATTGGTAGTGGTGCTATTCGTTGTTTTCACACTGAAAGCGTGGTGGAGAGTTTGGCGAAACGGATGTCTCCAGCGAAACTGTTTGAACGTGCGATGCGTGATCTAGCCTCATTTGTATCTTCTGTACGACTTCGACTACTTTCATACGTGGCGGCACATCCATTGGCGTGTGATGTGTCCGTGAGCAAACGCGTTCTTGCCGTCTGTTGGGACTCTGTCTACGCCCTTGTGGCTCCCGTCATCCACGAGCTCGCTGCAGCGGCAGAGGCGGAGGCAGTCATTGCCGCATCATTGGCCCTTCAACGATGCACCTCTCTTGGCCGCCACGATTTTATCCCGATGGCGTTTGCAAAAAACTTTGATTATTTTGAGGAGGATCGAAAGGTGACGAAGTGGCTTGCGCGTTTGTTTAGTTCTCCCACCCATCACAGCCGACGTGTCGTGGAGCAGACAATAAATGGGCAGTTGTTATGCTTTAGCCCACATGTCGGTAGCGGGCAAGAAACCCCAGCAGTGTACTTTTCTCCAGCATGTATGTTTGCAGCCTTCGATTCCGTGTACAAAAGTTCCTTGCGTTTGTTTCCCCAACATCCCCTCCTCCAGGAGCGTTGGATGAGTTACAGTGTTCTGGAGGCGTTTAATTACGCAGAGGGTATTGTTCCACGTGACGCGCTCAGTCCACCAGCTGTTCTGCGAATCCTTCATTTTCTTGCCGCTGAAGTCAACCCACGCTACCCGTTTCCTGGCGGAAGTACGGAATTGAGAGAAGATGCGATTACCTCTAAGGGGTGGGAAAAAGCCTTGCATGTGACAAACGGAAACAGCACCAATAGGAAGGATGGCCGCGAACCCTCTGCAATTATGGAAGGTGACACGGTTGATGTGGAGTCGTGGTTAAATTTCTTTACGGCGTTCTACTCAGCACCGAAAGAGGCGACGGAAGTTGTTTCGTTGCTTGACTTTTTTCGTGATGGTGTGGATCGCTTGCAAAGTGTGTATCCATCGGTTCGAGTGAACTCTTTACGTCCTTCCGCCATGGACGCTACTGTCTTGGAAGGCGGCGTGTTGGGTATTGTGTACCCACTTGATGAATTGGCCGTACGTACGCGATTTGTACTGCTTGCTGCCAGTGAATGGCTAAGAAATCGCCAGCAACAAGGCGGGAAGGAGTGTGAGTGGAATATCAATGATGGTAAGGAGGTGGAAATGACGACCAATGGGGAAAACGGAGACACATCACGGAAGGCAAATGGACTCATTCGACGGGTTCTTTCTCTCCCCATCTCTGTCATGCAGCCGGCATTGAGTCAGCAGGCGGATGAACTTTCCTATGAAGCGATTCACATGCATGAGGACGGTTTGATGCATTCGGCTGAACAGCGGCGTCAACAGGAGATGTCGTCTATTGCGAATCCGTCATCGGAGGTGCTACTTTGGATTGTGGAGTGTATTGGGAGGGTGTTGGAGTCACCAAACTTTCCATCCGCGGTGACGAGCTCCATGGCTCCCAGAAGGACATCCATGCAGCCACGAGAAACACAACAACTTCGGCAACCCGATCCGTTGCCATTCAATTTAGGTAATAAGGAACGATGCGATTTTCCCGCAGACTTTACAGTAACCACGCCAAAGGAATCCTCGTGGGGAGGAGCTGTTTCAGATCAAGATGAGGGCAATGTCGTTGGCTCACAGTACCTCCGATATCAGTGGAAACACTTTATTCCCAACAATATGACGTTCCCAAACCGCAGTGCGTCTCTGCCATTAGGTGATACGAATGAGAGTCATGCCAACACATCCGTGACGGCAGCTGCAACCACGTCAGAACTTCTTACAGAAGCTGAAAATCTACAAATTTTGTTGCTGCAAAGTTTTCTTGCTGAAGTTGGGCTTTGGATAACGCTGGATATGCATTCTTGCTATGATAATGAGGAAGATGTATCCTCCACATCCCTTGCAACTTACGCCATCTCCCCAAGAGAAGAGAAAACGGTGAGGCGCTGTGTAGGTAAGGAGGCGATTCTTTCTCTACAATTAGGTCTTTCCTTTCTTGGCTCTCGAGCGTGGGAAGTACTGGCAGATGCGTGGCTTGCGGCCTGTCTCAGGCTCCGTGCGAATGCCTCAGCCTTTCCCCATACGAGACGTAAATGTAATCCCATTGATGCTCTGAAATGTGTTCACTGATGACGTTTTTTCTTTTTGTTTTTTTTTTTTGTCTTCATGAACAACTATTTCGTGTTGCGTCGATGTTTTGATCTGCGGAAATATGGAAATCTATCTGTGTGCATACATGCACACATGCGTGTCACATTGAGGGTTGGAAGGAGGGAGGGTAATAAAAGTATTTTATCTTCTTGTTGCTAGGGGCTTTTGAAGAGAATGATCACGGGAGAGCTGGCTAACTAAATTATATATACCGGTAGCCGAATGCATTCCTTTATGATACTTTTTTCCTATCCTATGAATTATTGAGGAGAAAACATTGAGGCCTTTAACTGCCTATGCGTTAAACCCTTTTTCTTCCTATCTTGTTTGGTTTTTCTATAGATAATTTAAGGATCCGGCCAGCGCCCCAGAAGATTATTCTGCGTTGTTTCTTCTTTCTTTGTTTCAATCGTTTTATTCCTGTGAGAAGGTAAACAGACGGACAGAAGGAAAGAAAGAGAAGGAAAAAAAAAAGTGAAGGCACAAACATTTGAACTATTTATTTTGAGTAAAGGAGGCCACAGGAAAATAGCGGGGAGGACGTATATATTGCCGACGTTGGAAAGATATAAATATATATATATATATATATATCCTCATAAATATAAATATTATAGAACGTAATTGTTTTTCTCTTCTTTTTTCTTTTTTTTTTTTTTTAATGGCTTCGCTTGTCGTTTATACTCGTGGTCCTCGCAGCGCGGGGCAGAGGCCACCTGTGGCCACCGAGCATGGTTGCTCTTCTCAGAGTAGCACGTTGCCGCCGCCGCGATCGTCCGAGAGTACGGTGCCTAATGGATACGACTGGGAGTGGAACGGCGGTTCCGACATTGAAAGGGTTGTCAACGGCCATGGACGTCGGGGGAGCTCCGAGTACGTCCGTGGAAGTGTGCGGGCTGCGTTGCCGGTGAGTTACGGAGGCTCCAACACCAGCGAGAGGAATGTGAGCAGTCATCTTGAAGAGCTGGATGCGAGCCCGGAGAGGATTTACATGGAAAAAGATCGCGTTAACAGGCAAATGACAGATAGTGTGGGCCGAAGTCGTAGGAATAGATACGACGATGACCCGTTTAATGAGGACGACTACAACTCCGATGAGGATGAGGAGGAGGAGGACGATGATGTTCCACGAATTGCCATCATTGGTGGCCGCCACAACGAACAGTTTGTGCGCGAGATCCTGTACGGCACCCCGCGCGCCGGTGAGTTACCAGAAGGTCTTCACCCCCACCAACAGCAACAAGAACGATATTACACGGAACCGTTTGATCGGGAATTTTCGGCCACCGGCACCGGATACGGTGAATCGGGGTTGCGATCTGACAGTAAGGAAGAGCGAAGGGTTGTTTTCATGCAACGGTCGTCGCAAATGCGGCAAGAAGGACATCAGCAGCAGCAGCAGCATCATTATTATACACAGTCGAAAAGATTCCCTTCGACCGAGCAGTTGCCAGATAAACCTGAGAGGATTGTAAAACTTTCCCCCATTCGCCAGAGAACTGAGGCTGAAGTTACGAGGCCCCGGCCAGCTTTACTGAGCGCGGTGAAGTCACGTTCCTTTGGGGTGGTGCGTTCACCGAAAAGGAGGGAATCCTTCTCCGAACCGGTGCACGGCCGGCATATGTCATATGACAAAGGTGGGACTATGGGGCATGATGCCTCCTTGTCTCCACGTCGGCACTCCCGCCACGAAGATTCGTCGTTAAGGCGGCGTAGCGTGGATTCCAACGTCAAATCACCCTCTGTTTCCAAAGATAAAAACAGCAGAAACGAACGAGAACGTCAACAGCGGTTGAGAAAGCTGAAACAAATAAGGTACAGCGAGGAGGTGGATGATGGTAGCAGGGTGCGGCGCCTTCCATCGCCTTCAACAGAGAATGAATTCGAGGTGAAGGAAACAAAGATGAAACATCGCAGAACGAGAACCATGAGCGGTAGCACTAACAGCGGCGGCGGCAGAGAAAATAGCAGGAGCAGCAGGAAGAAAAGAAGGGCGGCGGGTGTTGAGGATGACGGAAATGAAACCCGGAAAGCGGCTGTCCAATTCAAGCCTGTATTTACGGCTGTGGAGTCTGTGCCGCCAAAGGCCAAGAAGGAAAAGGTCTTCTGTGATTGCTGCCGCGGTAAGAAGGAGAAGAGTCAAAAAGAAAAGCAGGAGGCAGATGACTCAGCGAAGAAAGATGTAGTGAGGCGGCCAAATGAAAAGACGGGAAATGTTGAAGATGAGAAACCTTCCGCTTTAGAGAAAGCGGTGCACGCGGCTCGGAAAACGAAGTCCCAGTCGCAGGTGCAACCGAGGCGTCGAAAAAGAAGGCCGTCGATGCCACCGTCCGACGCGGCGGGCAGCGCGGTTAAAACGCGAGAACGCGCAGCCGCATCCGCATCGTAGCCGCGCTCTCCGTCACCTTATGGGTGCCACCGATGCAGACGTGCCAAATCCTCTCATCGACGGGAGAAGGCTGAGAAAATTCTAAATGGCAGGCGTGCGGTAGAATGGGGTGGGATTTCTGCGTCTTGCATCGCGGTATTTAATAGATCTGGTGGCCGGTGGGAAGTGGGGGAGTGAGGATGAGGAGGAAAAAGAAAAGGAATAGAACAGGACGAGAGAGGTAGAGAGAAGGCGAAGAGGATAGAAAAGAATGCATGGAATAAATAAATTGCTTAGAGGAATCTAAAAGGCGCATTGATATATATACATATATACAGAAAAGAAGGGATGCACACAAATAAAAGGAAAAAAAAAAAAAAAAAGAAACATGTAATGGGAGAAGGGTTGTGGGTTGCCTCTTCAATTTATTTATTTGGACCTGCCGAAAGGAGTTCATGTGTCCCCACCCATCCCATACAAATCTTTTTTTTTTTTTTCGGTGTTCTTTATTTGTGTGCGCCTGTGTGTCTTTTTTTTTTTTTTTTTTTTTGTAAATTATCATTTACTTCAATATTGTTTTGTTCCGTCTTTTTTTTTTTTGTGTGTGTGTGTGTTTCTACTGGCTGGCGGCGCGTGTGGTTCCCATTTAGATGGTGGTAATAAGGTCGATTACTACAAATTACCATTGTTACCTGCTACAATTGCCTTTTTTTTTTTTTTTACTTGTTTGTTTGGTGGTGGGTGGGGGGGGGTAAGTACATGTTGAACCGCAACGCATTGGCCTTCCTGTTGCTGCCTCATATTTGTCTTTATTGTTGTTGTTTGCTTTTGGCATCCACTTCAGTTGTGTGACTACATGTAACGTGTGTGTGTGTGTGTGTGTATGTGTGTGTGTGTGTGTGTATGAAAGCCATGGGTTTGTTTATTTGCATTTACGTGTCGCATGGAGGTCTGGTGGGGGGGGCAGAAGAAGGGTGATGAGGAATGAATAATGGGCCACGGCAGACCCCCCACAATATTCCCATCACGCCTACCGCCATCACCCAAGCACGCACGCGTGCAAAGAGAAAGTGCAAAAGAACAGGGTAAGTTTGGGGTAGGGAACAGCAACTCCCATATTCACGGCGAAACACATACACGATAATTTAAAAAATAAAAAGAAAAAAAAAAAAGCGAGCGGGAGAGGAGGGGGGTCGTATTCAGTCTTATACCCTTTTTTGTTGTTGTTGTTGTTGTTTTTGCTTTATCATGCACTTGGGAACGGTATTACTGAAATAACAATGAATGAGCACATGAGAGAGAGACAAAGAAGTGAGGATGCCTGAACGTCATCAAACGAATCATGCTTTTTTTTCCTTTGCATTTTCTCCACCTGTCCACTTCTACCGCTGCGATGTAGCCGGCATCCTTAAAGGGATATTACAGAAGACCTCGCGGCACCCAAAAAGAGAAAAAAAAAAAAAAAAAAAGGAAGGACGGTGGGGAAGAGGAATAAAAACGAAGAAGGACGCCTTCTCCAGAGAAGAACACCTGGCATTAGCCAAATAAGAAAGTACGAAAGAGAAAAGGAGGAGGAAAAAAGAAAAAAAAAAAAAAGAATAAAAAAGAAAGAATAAAAGAAAACGAAAAAAAAAAAAGGGGGGGGTGTTGGTGGTGGTGGTGGACGACCAAGACACAGCGCCGAGTAAGGTAGGCATTCAAAGGACAAAAAAAAAGGAAAATAAGGTTGGCGGAACCGAACTTGTTGAATAAGCTCAGAATCAGGACTTTAAATCTGTACCGCTTGGGCGTTACATGCAGAAGTACGCTATGCAGCGGCGTCACACCTCATCCGGCTCAAGCAGCGGTGGGGGTGCGACGGGTAATGGCAGTGGTCTTCATGTTTTAGGTTGCGGTGTTGTTGGCAATGGCGGTGGGGGTGCCGTTGGGCGTGGCGTGTCAAGTGGCCCGGTTCCAGAAGTGGCTGCCTCCAGTTATGTGCCCATGTCATCCTCGACCGCCGCGGGCTCCACGGACGCCAGTGATGAGGAGGTGAATCAGCTGCTGAAGGAGCTTGAGTGTTCTGTGAATGGGTCAAATGCAGAAGCCGTGATGCGAGATGCTGTGTGGGCCATAGAACGACGAGCCTTTGCAAGCTGCGACCCGATGAGTCGTGACCTGTTTCTTGAGCAACGCATACGCGATGTTCTCTCCGAGCTGTCACGAACATCAAATCCAAAATTACTTCTCCTTGCTGTGGAATTTATTGATGCTCTCCTTGCTGTGCCGTATACAAATCCTCAACAAAAGTTTACACGACTTTGCCGTAGCCTCTTCATAGTCCTGCATTGTGGCCTTGAGAA